AAGATGAGGTTTTTTTTCTTCTTCAAAATTGTTTTTCAGAGAAGAGTCACCTTATCTTTGAACCTTCATACATCCGTGGTTCAACAAGCACATTCTTAATTACTCTTTTGAACAACAGTTTACTGTTTACTGTTTGCTGAAGATATATTGGCCTGAACTAGCTCAGTCAATCTTATTTTGATGTGTTCATATAATAAATTTTTCTTAAGCATTTGAGTTTTAATGATCATTTTTGGAAATATGACCTCACAGTTATATATCTCCTTCAGTTATAGTAGCCTGAAGGATTCAAAACTTTACTGGTTCAAACATGTTGAAGTTTTTAATAGCTAGTATCTCCAATAATGTCCTTGGGTTGGTTGAAAGTTTGCAGAGAGTTTATGAAAGTAAGGGTATGGAAATAAGTGTTTATTTATAAAGTGTGACATTTGAATAGTCTGCATGTAAATTTTAAGTTGACATTTATATTAGGACAAGCAATACCACCTGCTATAACAATCCCAGACATCACATTGGTTTATTAAGGTAAAGATTTATTTCTTAACACCTTCTGAGCAGCTCTTATTTAGGTAGTGTTTGGAAATCCAGGTTCCATCAATTTTATGATACTGCCATTTTCAACATGTAGCCTTCAGAGCTGCCCTTAAAAACAAACAAAAAGGGTAATTTTGTTGTCAGGCGGATAATGTCAGACATGGATTCCACTTGCATTCCACCGGCCAAAACTCAAACATTTGGGCTCTGTCTATCTGCAAGGAATGCTTAAAAATGTACTGGTCTATAGTTAAAGGAATAAAATAAGATTATCAAGCATGTTTTATTTAGACACAGGGTCTCACTGAGTTGCTTAGTGCCTTCCTTTTGCGGAGGCTGACTTGGAGCTGCCAATCCTCTTGCCTCAGCCTCCCAAGCCACTGGGATTTCAGGTGTGTGCCACCACGCCTGGTTGGAGTCTTTACATTCTTATTAACAGAACATGTTTTTCCCCTCCAAATAAGATCTTCTATCCAATCTCACTTTCTGAAACAGATGACAAAGCTGTGTTCATAGATTTAGGGATGTGGACTTGAGTTGGGGTCTCCAACAGCTTGGCTCAGGTGGATTACCATCTCCAAATGACAAAAAAGCATTCCTGAGTCATCCCCTTGGATCCTTGGGCTCTGAACTGGGTTAGTAGACAATGACCAATCCACCTTGCTTTAATGATAGGGGAACTGATGCCCAAATTTGTTGATAGGCATCAAAGGCCCCACAGCTGGTGGGTGGTAGCTACACCTGCAAGGTCCCAGACCACCTGTGCTCTGCTTGTGTTTATACCACATACCTGCAGAAGTGTTCCAAGACAATTATCCATCTGCTCTCCTGTGTCACAGCCCTGCAGAAAGGCCATTTCTTCTCCTCTTGGCTGGCAGCCTGTGCCCTCTGCCAGCAGCTCTGTCAGAGCATTCTGATTTACAGAAAATGGAGGTCTGCCTTGTTTTACTATCAATTCTTTGATCCCAATTTGGGGCCTTATTGTGTATATGATTAGCCTTCTTCTCTTTAAACTTTGTCTTTTTCTGGACTAAGTCCTCATGTGACTTTTTTTTTTCCTGCCCCCTTACCTGGTTCTTTTCTGTCTGAATATGCTATAAATAGAGCTCTAACAAAGTAGAACACACATCAAATTAAATTCCTGAGTTGTGGTCTGGCCAAGCACTAAATAGAATTGACCAGAAAGGCATGTGAATTAATGGTAAAAATTAAGGTTATCAGTGACAAAAATCTTTTTCTCTACCCTCTTAGGTTTAGCATCTAAAGGCCTATGAATTAGACTTGCAAAAGACAGATTGACAGATTCAAAGAGACAATTTTACTAATACTTGATGTGCATAAGAGTTCATAGAAAAAAAACGTAAAACTAAAATAAGTGGTAGGATTCAGGACTTACATAGTATTTTTTTAAACTTTTTTTTTAATATTTACTTCTTTTATTATACACAATATCTTTGTTTTATTTATTTATTTTTTATGTGGTGCTGAGGATTGAACCCAGGGCTTCGCATGTACTAGGCAAGTGCTCTACCACTGATCCAAACCCCAGCCCCTACATAGTATTTTTAACAAAGGAAAGGGAGAAAGGGCTACAAGAAATGTACATCACACGTGGCGATGAAATGTATGGAGAGCTGAATGGAGGATAGGGTTATTTTAGTAAGAGCTGCTTATGCAGACTTGTCTCAATGCTGACTCTGTCACCGTTGAAAAGAGTCACTCTTCTGGGGCTGTGGGCATAGCTCAGTGGTAGAACACTTGCTTAGGGGTTCTGTTCCCAGCAACCCTCTACCCCCACACAAAATCCTTTGGTATAGGAGAAAAGACTTTGTAATGTAACATTTGTGCCCTGGTTTTTTGAAATTCAAGAACTCTTCCAGAATCTGTGGATTTTTCAGTTACCTTTAGTCCAAAATAATCCTTATGCATAAGTGACCTATTTTGGGCTGACATCATCTGATCTCCTTCAAGGTATTTGTTGAAACCCACCTTCTACTTCAGTTATTCTGAATTGCTTTAGTCTGGGTTCCTATGTCCCCCAACTCCCACTACCACCTTCAGAATCGTGCTCCAAATATTTCTTCAAATTATCACATCATGAATCAGGAATTGAAGTTTGGTTATTGAGACAGTCATAAATTAGTGTCTTTATTGCTCATTCAGAATTCACATTCTCAGTAAGAAGAGAGGTCCCATCAGATTCTTAGCTGAAATCCAGTCCCCTCCTTCCTTCCTTTCCTCTTTCTCTCCTTTCATTCTGGACCTACTATGTGTCAGCCCTATCCCTACTACCAGGAATAGGTAAGCAAAGTCCTTGCTTAAGGAGGGAGACAGTCCAGTTGGAGTAAATGGTGTACACACCAACACAGACATTTACAATATGATGTAGCTATGATTAAAATATATATATATATCAGTCTCTTCTTGCTGCTATAACAAAACAACTTAGCCCAATTAATTCACAAAGAACAGACCTTTATTTCTCCCAGTTCTAGAAGTTGGAAGAGTCCAAGATCAAGCTGCTAGAAGGTTCAATTTCCGCCTTGTGGATGGTGCCTTCTTGTTATGTCCTTACTTGACTGACTGGTCCAGAAGGCAAAAAGGAGCAAAGGTGTTTCCTCAAGCCCTTTTACGAGGGCAAAATCCCATGACGAGTCCTCTGCCTACTCACCTCTTAAAGGCCTACCTCTCAATCCTACTGTGTTGGGGATTTAGTTTCAACATAGGAATTTGAGGGGGCACATTCAGACCATAGCACAAAAAAAGAAGGAAAGGCAAGTGGAGGAGGAGTTGGGGAGTGACCAGAAACAGCATCTCTGTGGAGGTGACATTTGAGCAGAAACGTGAATGGAGTGTGTGTATGTGGATATTTGGAGGGTGGAATGCAGGCTGCCAGGCAGTGGGAACCAGAACAGAACTTCTGAAGCACATCCTACAACAGCTCAAAAACCAGTGTGAGCACAAAAAATGGGGACAAGGAGGCAGGCTGAAGATCACATAGGGTCTTGTGGACTATGGGGAAGAATTTCCACTGATTGTGACCAGAGGGAAGGTGTTGAGCCAGAGAGTGGCCTGATTTGATTTAAATCTTAAATTTTAAGAGCACTCAGAAAAGGAAAAAGAAATGGAAAGCACTGGTTATGGGAAAGGTGTGTTTTTCAGAGCAAGAGTAGAGGCATAAAAATGAGTTAGGTGGTGGTCCAGACACACTGTGCTTACCTGAGTCCTTGATCCAGGTAATTTGCTGAATTTTAGTGATTCTGCTTTGTTTCTTCCTTTCCTTCCATTTCTCTCTTTTTTTCTATTTCATTTTAATTATTGCAGAAATTATTTTTTCTTCAA